ACCTTCCTTCCGAGGAGTGGCTGGTGGGTTTGAACCTCCAGCCTTCTGGTTAGCAGTCAAGTGCCTTAGGCACTATGCTACCAGAGCTCCTGTTAGATTGCTCTAAAGTTAAATACAGTCCTTCCTTCCCTGTGAGAAGATGGAGATGCAAATGAAATAGGAAGAACTTGCCTGTGTCAGAATTGAGGAGCTGAGTGGTAGCATGACTGCATTGCAAAGATTACATAACAAAGATAGTTTGTATAAAGAAAAATACATCCTATTGGAAGGTCAATGATAATATCACATTGTGTTGTAACAGCAAGTCTCCTAGTAGAATTCAAGGTCTTGGAAATTATTTATATTCTTTTTGTAGAAAAACTGACAGAAATACGATGCAGTTTGTTGCAGTTACCCAGTGAGTGCATTGTGGAATCAGAAACTAAATATCATTCCTCAATTCCTGCCCCATCTTGCCTCTCAACATCAACATAAAAAGAATATAAACTTTTAATACTAGTTTTTAAGCCAAAAACATTAATTTCCAGAGGTTCTTGAAATCTATGTAATATAAGTCCATCTCACACTTCTATGAGGTAACAATTATATAAATTAAGGGAAGCAGATGTTAAGGAAGAGGATTCCATTAGGTTTTCAGGCAGAAGTCAAGGAACCATTTGATGGCATTTTTGCTTGAAATTCATCTTGAGAAAGATTTTTTCATTGAAGGAAATCTACTATTACTGCTAGTATTAGTAGCTTTCTTTATTAAGTATTCCCTATGTGCCAAGCTCTGTGATAAGGAATTTAAATATACTATATCATTTCATCCCCAAAATTACTGGCTGAAATTGTGCTCATTTTAGAGTTGAGAAACTAATTCTGGGTCAATCAGAAAATGTGTTCTGGTACCCACAGCTCATAAATATTAGAGTCAAAATCTGAACCCCATTTTAAAGGGTGCCCACAGTTACCTAGACATAATTTGCATACCTCTTCAATGATTTTGCTACCCCTTCATATATAATTTTAAAGTTGTTTTAAGTTGAGATTTGGTAACACTTTGATTTTTTCCAGTCCACTCTGATTACCACTGATGTCCATCAACTACACCTTGGATGTGACAGCAGCACATGACTACCCCAGAAGAATGGAGAAAAGTAAACAAACTCTCACCCATACCAAGAGGATAAAAGTTAGGTATGCATAAAGACAAACACTTGAAAAGGAAACAAAAACAAAAATATCAAACTCAAAGCTGGCATAAGAAAGCTAAGAATTGAAAACAGTTGATTTGGTTAGGTAGTAAAAAGGTGAGTTATATTTTGGTTTTTATTTCTTCTCAAGGTTGTTAAAATTTTATAACACATTTAACCTCATAGCTAAGAAGAGAGAGATGAAAGATCCAGAAGGAAGTCTACATAAAATAGTCTCTATGGGACCAGGTCTCTGGGAGCAAGGTAAGCACGGGCGGGCTTGTGCTTACTCACTGATCTGCACTGAACACTTTCCCTTGTTACACTCCCGAGAGGGACCAGGTCTCTGGGAGCAAGGTAAGCACGGGCG